TGAATTAAATGTGGTTTCTGTATAAGTTACAAAATGATATGAATATGAAGTTATTAGGAGAATAAATGAAAAGCCATGACAATGGTGAGTGTCACCTTCGGCCATATAGGAAGATAGGGCATAAGTTGATGTCAATTGAATAATTATGTTAATGTTGGATCATTATCTTGTAATTAATAAGATTGATTAAGGAATTGGTGTAATTAATGAGGACAAGGATGTAGTTTATTAAGAGCGCGTACATACATAGTGAATATTCCATAATGGCTCCCTCAAAGGTGAATTCCAACTGTGGCCTATGCGGACGGAAGCCAAGTGTCCCATACTCTGGTACCGAAGGGATGCCTATATGATGCATGCTCAATCGTATGCATATTTATATAGATATTATTATTAGCCAATGCAACATGAAATTTATGCACGTATGTCATGCTATGCTTTCATACACACAAAAGAAAAGGGATGCATGATGAATATGCATGACTAGATCATCATTATAATAGCATATCTTTCATGTACTTTCCGTACCAAGCTGCCACATAACAATTACTTCTCATTCATGATTTTCCATCTTGTCACATTCATAGGCAGCATACATGTAGCATATAACAGCACATTAATCCAAGGCACATGTGAGCAATAATTCACAATTCTATACGCTAGCTAATAGTCACATTAGGTAATACCACCAAACACTTACCTCGAGTCTTTAACATTTTTAATCAAAACAACCCCCAAGTCCATCCGACATCCTTGAGGTTTATGAACCTATTCAAAATACCAAACAGATTTTCTTTACTTCCATTTATTTACAAAACACAAGATTCCATTCAGAATTTATTCTTCCCGTACCAAGTTCATTTTCTGATTTTACTTTAATTTCTTATAGGTTTAGCCAGGGACAAACCAAAGGTTTCTATACATTCATATTCGGTTTGTATAGTCATCACCTAGGGCCTAAACTTTTTAATTACATAACATGTTCTACATTATATGGCAAGGTCACTTAATTTCTTAGCATGTTGCCCCCTACGATTTCCCCATACAAGGCTTTATATTTATTCTTAATTTTTTCCCCAACTAATTACACAACTTAGCATAGTGCCAACCACCTTAAACTACATGAAAATCCAATGTAACGTATCCTAATAAACTACATCCTTCTCCTCATTAATTACACCAATTCCTTAATCAATCTTATTAATTACAAGATAATGATCCAACATTAACATAATTATTCAATTGACATCAACTCATGCTTTATCTTCCTATATGGCCGAAGGTGACACTCACCATTGTCATGGCTTTTCATTAATTCTCCTAATAACTTCATATTCATATCATTTTGTAACTTATACAGAAACCACGTTTAATTCAACGCAAGGTACACTCTTACCTGGTCAAATAATTAACTTTCATCAATTTAAAACTCCAATTCATGAGCATGGAAACTGATAAATAACAAAGGAATTAAGTGTAACCAGTCGATAGATAGGGAACTCGTCATAAGTATGAAGTAACTAGGAAGTGGATGAAATTATAATCTGTAACATTTAAACTTTAAAGATAAAATAAGTGTAATTAAAAGTCCTAGTTACTTGGTCCTCTGTTTACACCAGCATTAGACAGGTATATCTAATTGTTTTAAAATTGTCTAATTCGAAATTGTAAAATTTTGTCTGTGTTATCAATTGTGAAATAACTTGGTGAACTGAATTGTTTACTCCCATCATAGAATGCCTGAAATATAGAGTTATCTTGTAGATAATGACGTGTTTTTTAAGAATAGTAAGTATAGCAGGTGTATCAGTAAGAGTATGGCATGTTATTGATATTGACACACGTAAAGAAACGAAGAACATAAGTAACAAAGTAATGGATAACTGGAGATTTTTGTTTAGTAAAATAATATGTGGTTTTACTTAGTCTTTGTTTCAGTATGGTCTTTGAAGTTAATTAAAATGAAACCAGAAAATTGGTTGCTATGAATAAGTCTAGGAAAATTTTATTCCCTACATGCAAGTAAAATCTTGTTATATATATATATTGTCTGAAGAACAAGTCAAGTATGACTTGTTTGTGATACTCTGAAGTAATTGATGACTGTTATAGATGTCAGCTGAATGTGATATAAGGTCTTTCACTAATGTAATGTTGTTTGGGCATTTGACTTAAGTAGTTTTCGGAATGGTAGACCGAAGTTTGGGGACAAACTTCAAATTTGGTGGGGAGAGTGTAACACCCCGCAAAATTTGGGAAATTACATAACTTGAAACTAGGAGTGTGTAGCATGTTTGAAATTCGAATTAGACACGTGTATAGAGTGGAATTTGTGTAAGTTAGGAAAATTATTTTGTGTTGACAATATAAGTGAGTCTATGTGTGGATTTTAAAAGATTCAAGATACTAGTTAAAAAGGGATAATATGATATTTAATTACCATATAGGTAGGAACTCTAATTATTAAATTGTGGGTATATGAAATTACATACATAAATAAATGTATAATTAAAAAAAAAAAAAAAAAATATAATATATATATATATATATATATATATATATATATATATATATATTACATGTCTAGCTTTGTTATGCGTTGAGCATAGAAGTAAAGGAAAGGAAAATTTTAGTTACTAGTACAACTTAGAGGATACATAAAATCATATGATTCAGAGAAAATCTTGGATCATAATTCTCAATGGGCCACGGCCCAAACCTTGACAAATAGGAAATTTAGTCAGCCCATGTTTAGCCTATAATGATGCTTATCTATCCTTAAGCAAATCTATAAGCTTAGCTTGAATTGGCCTAAAGAAAACTGATATGCGCCACTTGTCCTAAAAGTAGACAACCCACCTTATCTCCTCTTCCACGGCTAACAACCAAAGCCACAACCCATGTGGTCTGATTACCTGTCCACTAAATTCTGTCCTTGTTCTCCTTCCTCCAAACCGTAACCAAGAAGAGAAACATCTACCAAGGAAATGAAATTCTCCTTCCAACGTCAAAGCCGCGAGCTTCTAGTAGGGAGCATGAAATAATTTTAACATATTCTCCTATAAACTAGAAGCTAACACACCCACTCTCTCCCTCTCAAAACCGTGGGCTATTTGAGAGGTGAAACACCATCTGAGTTCCTTCTTAGCCCTCACTGGTTCGGCCATGAGCAGGAACCAAGGGACTGCCATTTGAATCCATCTTCCACTCCTTCCTCTTGTTCGGCTGAAGGGAAAATTCTAGGAGGTGAGGTACTTTTCTGTTTTAGTGTCTTTTCCCCTTGACTGATTCTAATTAAATTCCTTCCAATGTTGCAAGCACAAGGTCCAGCCATTGTTGGGCAATTTCCCCACTGCTGCAGCTGAAAACCGATTGACTACAAGGAAGGCCACTGCCTTAAATTCTGATTTATTTCCCCTTGCATGCAAGAGCAAAGGTGTGTAGATGCAAACACAAAGCTAGGTAGCCGGTTCCCCTTGTGGTTGAGCGAAACTTTGCTGTGCATACAAAGAGGTGTGGACCTAACTTCATGTCCCTTTATAATGATTTCGGTGGAAAGTTAATTATTAGAAATTCTAATATCTTTCCCAAAATGGAAATTCTACCCAAAGATATCATGCAGAAAGATCCTTCATTCAAGAAGTCTTTAGTTTGCTAGCAGTATTGTGAATTTGGAAACAACAAGCATAACAACCTCATGCTTCATGGAGATAAAGATTTCGCTTTTGGTGGAAGTTTAATTGAAGATCGTGAGGGGCAATGGGACTTGATGTTACATCAGGCAAAATTTTTCTATCACAGATCGCAGATGCGATTATTGAACCAATAACTGCAGACAATAGTCCTTTTGGAATAGTTTATGGATTTTGTCCACTTACTCCCTTAGAACTCGTATTATTTATAGTTCCCAAGCAGTTTAGTTGTTCGAATGTAGATGAAGATACCAAGAATATTAAAGAATTGCATTCACAGGTCCTAACCTTAATTAAGAAATTTGGTGATATTGTATGAGAAGAGTTGTCACCTGGCTTACCACATAAAGAAGTTGATATCAATGAAGACGAAGCAGATTCAAGGGCGAATCTTTTACTAACTGGGGAGGATGATGCACCCAAGCTGACTGACTTGGATTAGGCTTTTCTATAGTTTAGGACTTTTCAATAATTATAAGTTATTTACCCTTTTGTTATTTGGGCTTTTTTTTTATAGTTTAGGACTTTTCAATAACGGTTAGTTATATACCCTTTTGTTATTTTGTTTTGTCTATTTAAGCCATAGAGAACCCTGTTGTTATTAGATTGTTTTTAGTTGAATAAAATTAAGAAAAGAAAAATAATATTTTATTGTTATCCTTGTTTTCAGTCTTTTTTATGTTTAGCCAATGAATTCCATGCCTTTTTCGCTTCATGGCAGCATGGTTGACAAGTGATGTTCTTACCTCAATTATTAAAGAGTGCGGGGCACCGAACAGGGAAATATGGAGGGACATGAACAATATGTTCAAAAATCGAGTTTCGGAATGGCATCGTGAATTTTTATTAGATATTCATAAATTAAGTGACGGAATTTTATTCATAATATAAAAAATAATAATTACCATTTCTTTATTTTTCCAATTTTATAATAATATTTAAATTTGTTTAACTGGTTCAACAATTTTAATTTAGCCAATTTAAACGGTGGTAACTTTATTCAAATGTGGGCTAATATTTTAGAGTTTAATGTTTCTCATGTTCTAGGAAATAAATTTATCTCCTACATACATATAAAAGTGTGTGAGACACATGTGAGGAGAAAAGAGATAAAGAAAAAATACGGGACAAACACTTTTATATGTGTAGTAATAAATTTATCTCCTATAACATGAGAAACATTAAACCTAATTTTTTAATTCTATAATAATTTTAGCTAGCTTCAATATATATAAAAGGTCTCATTCAATTCAAGTTAATAGGAAAAATCCATTCGGTGCCGACTCTATAAGGATAGTAAATTAATCAACCCACATGCAGTTCGAAGGGTTGCTTGAAAATAGTGTAGACTGTAGACATTAGCTTCACTCGCAGGAGAGTAAAGACTTGAACGAAAGCCCACATCCCAAGTCCTCTCGAGATGGCCAAGCATTGAATAATACACAACCACCACCAAACTCAATGCTCTTCCAAATCACTATATAAAGACTAGACCCACATCACTTAAACTCACAGAAAGTAATTCAAATTTTCAATTTCTACACCCTTAGTTCTACTTAATCTTCTTCTTTTAAGAATGGCTAGCTTCAAGTTGGCATGCTTGGTTCTCATGTGCATGGCTTTAGTGGGTGCTCCCATTACCCATGCCATTACATGTGGACAGGTTTCAGGCAACCTAGTGCAATGCGTAGGTTATCTCCAGGGAGGTGGTGCTGTTCCTCCACGTTGTTGCTCCGGTGTTAGGAACATTGTGAACTTAGCCAGAACCACCGCTGACCGCCGCACAACTTGTAACTGTTTGAAACAAGCTGCTGCTGCAGTCCCTAGACTCAATCCTGCGAACGCTGCGTCCCTCCCTGGCAAATGTGGAGTCAACATTCCCTATAAGATTAGCACCTCCACCAATTGTGCCAGGTACATGTTTAATTTACATGCATGGTTTTTTATTCCATAACCATAATTATTATTATTTTTGGCAACAAGCTAAATTAAAACTAATCCCGAATTAAAACGGTGTAATAATTGTCCAGTCTTAAAATTACATGCATGATCTTTTTGAGTGACCTCATGGTGTCCTCATTCTGTAAGATGAGACTAATTCTTTCACGGCTTGGAGTCAGAAGGTTTTCATCCACGGACCTCAGAGTGCTTTTCGCAGGAATCAAACCCATGACTCCATTAGCCACTAAAGCCCTACCCTTGATTGCTAATTGAATCAATTAATTATAGGAATTTTTCCGAGCTAGGTTTATATTATGGTGACGTTATTTGTTTTTTTTTTTAATTGCAGCATCAACTGAAGTGAAGAAGATTTGGATGATGGGTCTTCTATAAGAAGATATATATTGTACTAGCTATCTACTAGGGAAGAGAATAAAAGGAGGGACGAGGTCTCCATTTAGGCGAACTAGTTTACTCTTGTACTTTGGCTTGCCACGAAGTTTAAATACTTCAATGTGGTTCTATGTTATCCTTAATTATAACTTAAAATAAGAGAGGTTGTAGCTTGAAATTATTGATTATTCAGTAATTCAACACTTTTTTGTTTCCCCTGATATTTATAATCGGCTATTCTCTGTTAATGTTTTAATGGACATTATATACGTTATATGGGTTAATGAAATAAAAAAACTAATTAAATACCAAAAGCAAATATACTAATCTACCCACCGTATACTAAAAATAAAATAAAATAATTACGCATATTTTTACGGATTTTACAGATCTAGATCTACCCACTCTCATTTAAAAAAAAAAAAACATGACATGGTAAGAGAAGAAATTATAATCATATAGATCAATAATAATAAAGAAAGAAAGAAAATATTAAAATAAATAGTTACAAAACATAAAATATCCATTTCCCTTAAATTTTGGTGCTTTCAATTTAGACCCATTAACAAACCGAAGCGAGAACTTAGTACATGAGTGAAGTTTTTATCACTAGAAAGTAGAAAGTGTTTTGAAGAATCTTTTATAATGTTCAAGATATTTTACAAAGAATGTCTTCAATGATGTGTTTAACAGTCATTGGATCCAACTTGTAAGTATTGGCATTATGAAGTTGTTTTGCTCACACATCTTTTGAGCTCGATTTTGGAATCTGGGAAATTAGTTTTCTTAAATGTGTGCTCGTCTTTATGATTATTTAGGGAAACAGATAGTCTAAATTGTTATGAACGTTGACTCGAAGGTACATTTATTGCCATTAGTCTAGTTCGATAATTTTTAAATTGTTTTGTCCAATTAGATGGTGTCGTGCTGACAAAATTTACATCCAACAATACGCAACATATAAAGCTTTGAAGAATTGTTTTTTTTTTTATAACCAAAAAACAATTAATGGTAAGTTGATTATTCTACTAGGAAGAGTTGTGAGGAATTGCATGAGATATAATTTATAAGAGAGAGGAGATAATATAAATTCTCTTTCCATTAATCACAGGCTAATTGGTAATATATACAGCTAATAAAGAGTTGACTAAAATAGAAATTACTCTAGAAATTATAAAGTAACAAAATTAAGCCAATCTATTATGAAAATGATTAACAGATTAATTTGTCATTCACTAGGCTCGTGGGTTTGTGACTTTAGATCCGATAGGCGTCCAACTATGCAGGCTTTTTTCTGATCTACTGGGCCTTTTAGTCCTTTGTCTCCTTGGGAAGCTGGCCTCATATATCCTGGGTTGGGTTTGTTCATCTGGGCCGCTGTAGAATCATTTAATGCTCTTCATTAATAATAATATTTAATAAATAAAATTCTTAAGTTACTTAAAATGAATAATATTATGTGGTCTAACAATTTCCAATAGACTAAATACTTACTATTATTATTCACTACAAAAAAAAATGCTCTTTAGCCACATTCAGAAATGTGGCTAAATCACATAAAAAAATGTGGCAAACAAAAGCTACCACACTTTTTGTAAATGTGGCTAATCATGGCGTAGCAATCTTTTAACCACATTATTTGTTTTACTTAGCCACATTCTGATTCAGTGTGGTAGCATATATTTAGCTACAATTAAAGTTAAATTTGGCACGGTTCAAATGTGGCTAAAATAATTAAAAAAAAATTAAAAAAAAATAGCCACACTATATTGTGGCTACTTTTTTATTTGCTGAAATTTAACGAAAACAGCATTTATTGCAACATACAAGACATAGACAATATTGCTTGCTAACAAGACATACATTTAATCATGTCTTATCACTAAAAAATGGATGAAACTCCATACATTTAATCATGTCCTAGAAACAGAGAAGTCAAAAATTAACAATTAATATTAAAGCCAAGTAATCCTAGCAATTTGAGAATAAGTGTCAAGGGCAGATACAGGAACGACTTCAACTTGCCTTCCAAGCTGACAGGCCAATGCTTCAATGAAGTGTCTTCTAACATCTATTCCCTGTAGTAGAGCAACTGCAGTCAGATAATGTGTTTGATCAAGTAAAAGGTCAATTCTATCCATCAAACAAAGTATAATAAAAAATTCAGATATGTGCTTTTCAAGCCATAAGAAATGGAAGGGAAGACACTGCACTTGCTAATAAGGTCAATTCTATCCATAGGGGTTGCTTCACCCTTTCTTTCCACACAGCTTTAGGAAGTTGTGTAGTTGTCTCACCAGCTATTGTAGTTAAAACTTTATCAACTTATTCTTCTATCTCATCTTCTATGTCTTGCGAATCTAGTGCTGAGTCAACAACATCATTTACTATATCTTCAATAACTCCTGCCTGAAAGAGACAACATTTCCAATAACAAATCAGGGCACAGAAACTATGATATTATGTTGTTACATATAATAATATTTTTATTTGAACATATAATATCCTGTATCATAACCCTTGATTTTGATTCCTTATTGGATTAGAAAGGAACACGTCAACTGCACCTCTCTATTATTAACCTGTGCAAGATATATATTATTCTTGCTTTAATCTCTTTAAAGAGACATCATCCTAATACAACTGAGGAAATTTTGCACTTTTGTCTAAACTCAAATGAAAAGATGGATGTTCTTATATGATACTATAAAAAGAGTTAAAAAAAATATAAATGACATGTAGTAAAAAAGAAAAGTGCATTTGGCCCTTCTAAAGTAAACCATGAACAGTGCTCGTTTTCACTCCCTTTCTAGTGAAATGTTATACAGTTCCTACATTGAGGAGGAAGAACAAGTTGCAATGACCGCATGGAAATGTCCTACGGTAGATACAAGTTTGTTTTTACAAAAAATAGTCTACCCAAAAAAATTAAAAAATTAAAAATAAAGTAATAACCTGAAAGAAACATACAAAGCTATTTTTATTTAAAAAAAGTTTTTGAGTAGGATTCTAAGTCCCACACATAGAATGAATTATGTTATCAGATAGCTTACAACAAAATATTCTCATCAGTTAAAAGTACCTTTCGTGTTAGACTGACCTTGGTGGAAAATCTTTGGCGATGAGACGGTGAGCCAGCTATTTTGAGCAAAACCAAGTCATAAATGACCATTGGAGAAAATTATTTGCTCCCCAGTTCATTTCTTTTACACAAATAACAAGTTAAAGATTTTGAGCATAGCTTAACTGGAATCTGGCCAATGTAGAAAGGAGCAAATTTATGCTTCCTACAAAAGCGAAAAAGGTTCAATGTTAGCCAAAATGAGACACCAATGTAGTGGAGCTTCTCTGGGCATCTTTCACGCAGATGAGGAAGATCTGTTCTAGGTTTTATATTTCTTCAAGTAGCGAAACCTGAATTCATAGCAATATCATAATAAAGGTAATGCATATATTGGAAATATAACATAAATTGATAGACTTATGAGCATAGACAATAACAAATAAAATTATAGCCTTCACACTCACACTATGTTTTAACTCAGTCATTAAACACTATCTAAAAGCTAAAAGAAAACAATTATTAGAAAAGTGCTAGCACACATAAGCACAGACCTGTCTGAAAGTAATTGTCTTTCTGATGTGTTTCCAGTAATAAAATTGTTGAATATGAACAAGGACACATGGTAAACAAGGATTATCAAGAACACAATATGATTCTTATAAAAGACAGAAATTTTACATAGAAGAAATACATCCCAAATATACAATGTATAGGGCTTTCCCCTCCTCTATGAGACACTTAAACAAACAGAACTATCTAAACCTGTTCCAAAAAGGGACTTTAGAAGTAACATACGTTCTCTGCAGCTTTTGTAACTCTAACTCGAGGAGCCTGTTCTTCATCTTCAACATCAATCTCAGAGATAGGAGTAAATTGTCCTTCATAGTAACTGCATAGAGTAAATGATGGAAACGATTAATTGATGATGTTCTGCTTTTAACATTTGACATATTAAAGACTAAAATGAGCCCTATGTAACAACATCTTTAGCAAAGTATTAATTGAATCAGATGATTCATATAGAAGCCAAACCACTTTTTTTGGTAGCCCCGTGCATGAGGCTCCCACCATCGTGGGGTCTTCAGAGGGTTAGATGTGCATATCCTTACCCCTACCCCACAAATGTAGAGGCTGTTTCAGTGACCAGAATATATGACCACCAGGTCCTATGGCAGCAGCCTTACACTAGAAAATGGAGAGAGTATGCTGGAATTTTTTTGTAATCAGATCACACAAGAATATATTTATACTAGTACAGAATTATTTACAGTAATTACAAGATAATTCAACTCCAAAATTAGTTGATTAGAGCACTAAATGACTGTACACACTAAAATATCAGAGATATTTTCTACCACACAGTTGAACCAAGGCTTGCCAAACCGAATCAATATTCAATTAAAAACTTTTGAAGAACGCTCAATGCTCATGGAACCACGTGTAAAACGAAAGCTAAAATGAAAATCACTCCAATCGAAGCAAGAAGACAACCATGCACTCATCGTATTAAAAGCTCAACTGCAACCATATCCAAGCTAAAATTAAAAAAAGAAGATGAAAGCTCAGAAGGGTATTGCAACTTTGGAAGAATCTGGTTAAACAAAGCCATATGCCAGAATATAGAAGTTACCCTCATGACACTCGGGTGTGTGGCAAATATATATTGATCCTCGTGAGGATGATCCAACCTGAAAGTTTAAAATATCAAATTTAATAGACCTGCGCAATCAATCATATGAAAAATGAAATATAAAGAGCAGTGATTCTGAAGAAAAAGAATAGGAATATCTTTTTAGAAAGTAGAATGAGATTACGCCTCTAATGTGTTTTCAGCAAAAACGATAACCATTAGGAGTTAGATCTACAATTTGAACAAAAAAAAAAAAACATAACACTGATTAAAATGAAATAAAATAAATTATTTTGCTTAGTTACTGAAGGTGAATAAAGATTAAAGGTAAGAGGTTGACTTACCATGTAATCAGTGGACTTGAAAGGGTCGTTAACAGCAACGAGTTCAACATCGTCTCTCGACAGAGCAACCTTGGCCACCAAAAAGCCGATTCTTCCAAATCCAGTTACATAAAAAAACAAAAATAAATAAAA